CATTTGATCAACTTTAGTGATAAAGATTAAAATGACATTAAGTGAATTCTAAGATCCAGTAGATGGCAGTGTCCTTATAGAAGTATTATGCTGACAGTTAATATATCTGCATTATATTGCTTTGCCTTCTAAACTGTTAGCACCTTTTGAGTAATGCAAGTAAATTATATATGAGCATACAGACATATCTCAGTCTCAAATCTACAAAATGAATCAAGTGTATAATTTAAAAAGATAAAAGAAAGAAAGATGAAAGTATTACTGTAACGAGGCTGACGAGACGTGAGGATCCAAATGCAAAGCTTTAATTAGACAGGAGACGTGGTCATAAGACAGGCAGGGTCAGAACACAGGCATATGGCGGGCAAAACACAAGAACAGTCACAGGGCTAGCGAAGGTCACCGATGGGCAGACAGAATCGGAAGGGACAAGACTAAGGGAGAAATCCAAGAAACCAGGCAAAGATCAAGAACCGAGAAAAGGGCTAAGGCTAAGGCAAATCACTAAGGCTCCGTAAAGTAGCTATCTGGGGAAAGACAAGCGCTAAACAATACTCGGCAGAGGGAAGGAATCAGAGTGAGTGTTACATAGTGAGGGAGTGATATGAAACAGCTGTGTGCAATCAGTGTAAACAGCTGTGTGCAATCCGTGCTGAGTGCAATCAGTGCAATGCATGATGGGAAATGTAGTCCGGGGTGATGTGCAACAGTGTGTAGTGCGAGAGACAATGAAATTGGAAGTTCATGGACCGGATTCGTGACAATTACGAAGAGCCAAAATACAATGTATGAAATGAGCATTAAAAACTCCATTATTGCAGCATGGTTTATTACAAATGCTTTTACTCACCCATTTTATCTTATAACCCACATTCTGAGAACATGTGGCTAAAGTAATGCTTGTATCCTTTTATTTTTTATGTATTCACACTGAGCAAGTATGTTTGCTCAGTTCACAACACTAGATTTGCAGCGAGCAAAAAGGCTGAGCCACTGGAGAAAAGCTCTTTCAAATATTAATTATTGAATCGCATATCACTCTATGAATAAAAGCACCTGAGACAACACTCATTTAGTTGAACAAGAACTGTTTTTATGAATTTCATTTTTATTAACGTAAGCACAAATATAAGTCTTAGAATCAGTGAAGTGCAAAATTATGTTGAATAATACTGGGATAATACTATTAAAATAACATCACATATACATTAGCATAAAACAGATTTTACAAATCAAAGGATGACAAAGTCTTTGTAAATAGTTAAATGGGAATGGCATACACTTTAGAAAACTCTCCATTTAATGCAATTCATTTTGAGCTGAGTGTCCTTTTGTTTCAGATACAATAATTAGATGAGTGATGTCTGCTGGAGGATGAATGGTGATGTTGTTTCAACATCAGGACTTTCCCCTGAGGCTGATTCTCAGTCTGCAATGACATTAGTCAAAGATGTTCTTGCTCACACTATATGGCCTCACATGAGTCTAGCATGTGGTGTGACTCCAAATGATGACCAGAGAGAGAGAGAGAGAGAGAGAGAGCTGTTAAAGGCAACAGATGGCTACTCTGTCTGATTGACTATAATCATTAATCATTCATCCCTCGGCACTCATGCATTATCTCGAGTCTCCAGGTTTTCAGGGTGGCAACCGAGGCAGCGCTCTCCCAATCTGCAATCTCATTGGTTGGCCCCCACGCTAGTCACTCCCCCATCCGTCGGAAGTGCGTTCTCCTCCTGCGTCTCCCTTCAGTCTGAACCAGCCTGCGAGCTCGCGCTGTCGGCCTCTCCCTCACGCCTTTGCTCGGCTTGTCAAGCAGAAGTACGGGCTTGGTGGTTCGGAGATCTGGCCTTCGATTATGCTGCCATTCCAACCGACCAGAACGATGTGGGATTCAGATGCTCTCCTGTTTTATGAAAGCCAACCTCAGGAATGAGCACTTCTGCTCCCTCGCTCGTGTTTTATTCGCCAGGACTGAGCGTATGTGGGACAGTAGCGAGTCTAACAGCTTTAACAGCCTTCAGACAAAAGACGGCTGCGAAGTAATATTCACAAATAAGGGGTAAGGGGTAAGTCCGCCAGTTTGCGTTATCCGCGCTCTGGAGTTCAATGCGCCATGCTTATTTCTAGCCGCTTTTATGTCCGATTGAATGTAACGGAACGCGAGTGATGTCACCGCTGGTTTTGCATGTTTCCTCTGTATGAATGTTACAATGTAACATTCCAACATCCTCTCTCTCTCTCTCTCTCGCTCGCTCACTCATATACTCGATAAATAAAATAATCTTAAAAGAGATTTAATTCACCAAAAACATAACACACTTCTGATACTGAGTGTTACGCATCCTTCTGCGTTCCGTAATATGAGCGTTGTTACGGGATGCGTTACGGTATTTTGTGGCTACTACGCACAGAAGGAAGAATAGACAGTACTGTGTGTAGAGCGTATGTGGGACAGTAGCGAGTCTAACAGCTTTAACAGCCTTCAGACAAAAGACGGCTGCGAAGTAATATTCACAAATAAGGGGTAAGGGGTAAGTCCGCCAGTTTGCGTTATCCGCGCTCTGGAGTTCAATGCGCCATGCTTATTTCTAGCCGCTTTTATGTCCGATTGAATGTAACGGAACGCGAGTGATGTCACCGCTGGTTTTGCATGTTTCCTCTGTATGAATGTTACAATGTAACATTCCAACATCCTCTCTCTCTCTCTCTCTCGCTCGCTCACTCATATACTCGATAAATAAAATAATCTTAAAAGAGATTTAATTCACCAAAAACATAACACACTTCTGATACTGAGTGTTACGCATCCTTTTGCGTTCCGTAATATGAGCGTTGTTACGGGATGCGTTACGGTATTTTGTGGCTACTACGCACAGAAGGAAGAATAGACGTTACAGCTTTTGCGATTGCATTCTCGACCGATGTCTTCATACAGAAATCCAAACATTTGTTAGTTACTCTACTTCAGAGCAGTCAGATGGTTCCGTTCCTTATCATTGTCAGCTGCATGTAGTTTGTAGCTAACTGATATCGCTTGGGTCCTAGTTAGGGTAGTTAAAAACGTGTCCACCATCAAGATGTTGTGTTGAAAATTATGCGTGAGGGAAAGTGTGTTTTCCCCACATCTTTTTGCATTTATTTTAAATGGTCTTGTGACTGATTAATTATTTTTTAAAGGAGACATATTATGTCTCTTTTTAAAATATGTAATATAAGTCTCTGGTGTCCCCAGAATGTGTCTGTGAAATTTCAGCTCAAAATACTCCACAGATCATTTATTATATTATTTTGAAAATGCCTATTTTGAGTGGAAGCAGAAACGGGCTGTTTTTCGGGCCTGTCTCTTTAAATGCAAATGAGTTGCTGCTCCCCGGCCCCTTTTCAAGAATAGAGCTGCTGCCATTACAGCTCGTATCTGCTAAAAACATCTGTTTTGGTTCTGATTATCATGTTTATCGCTCTGAAATCATGCGTTTTAAACCACATGAGTTTAAACTTCTGATATACGGTTTTCTGAGAGCACACATCTGAAGCACACGGACAGAAAGCGGCTGTCACAGCATGTGAGTACTAAACTAAGTTCTCATTCACACACAAGTTTATGCCAAAAACACACACGAGTTACAAAAACAGTCGGTTATGTCTGTGAAGGTAAACAGCTGGGAAATAAATTGCATGTTTATTTTAGATCTGTGTGGCGGCTGCAATATACAGTGAATAAATCAATAAATCCACTGCTCTGTTGTCTCCTCTGATGCTGGGACTCATGTTTTGCGTGAACTTTCGCTATGGCATTAGAGCTGGTACACCGTAGTCACTTGCAAAAACACAATAATGGCGCAGTGGGTGGAAACTTACAGATTAAGGGGCGGTAATATTATAATGAGATCCCTTTGCCACGTCACCAAGGGAGCGAAATCAGACGTGCTCGTTTTCTCAGACTCTTGCAGAAAAAGGTTTACCAAAACAAAGTTACTGGGTTAATCGTTTTCACGTTTCCTTGGTTGGTAGACGCACTGGGGACCTGATTATAGCACTTAAAACCTGGAAACGTCAGCTTTTCATGATATGCCACCTTTAAAGTACAAATAATCCATGTAGTCACCTCAGCAATGGGGTTGACATATGGGAATTTTTAAATGACCGATTTTTTTTAATTTGACTATTGCCCTGTTGTCTGGCACTCAGAATCATTTAAGTTATTTCAGTTAGGTAAAGTTACGTTGCAGGATTTGCTGTTGCCGTAAGTCGATCCATGTCTTTGTCTGTGAAAGTAATGCTCCACAAATAACTATTTTTTACTTTTTTCCTTCGTTTTTTTTTTCCTCCTTTCGAAAGAAAACACTTCCGCCACTTAATGTTGTCCAAAAGCCAGGCCACTCATCTGGACCCCATGAGAATAGGCGTGTCGAACGGAGAGAAATCACAGAGGATATTTTCTGGGTTTAATATGAGGTTGCTTACCAGCAGTATTCTAACTTTGTCCAGTTTTTCTCTTTAGGGTGAAGCACTTTGGTGTAGTTTAGCTTCTTCTTCAGGAGGTCCTTATAGTTGATATACAGAATATTACTATATTACAATCTATGCTGTGATAATGATTTTATTTTATTGTTTAAACTGTAGTAGTTTACATTTGGATATTGTTCCTTCAAATAGCTTAAATTTGCAAGGTTACCTATTACGTTTTCAGTAAGTGAATTTGAAACTTTTAGCACCCTGCACATTTTTTTTCGCAGTTTGGGGCAAATATCTCATTTATTAAAATACAGTTGGACTGCATTTTGTTATGCAAGATATGTATGGTCTCTGGTCAGTTTTATGATTATATTATATACTGTTGGGATTATACTGTTTCTTTGTGTTGTGTCATGTTTGTAGTTTAACACTCTTTTTTTCCTTTTCTCAATCTTGCTCGCACGCACCGTTTCCTAGCTCTTCCCACACATCACAATACATTCAAGTAATCCATGTATGATGTATTATTTTCAAGTTAACATTAGCATAAATAATCAATACACGCTTATTTTCGGTCTCTTCTTTAGAATGCTCTAAGATCTCCTTTGATGTCTGATCAGACTAATGAGTAAGGAGTACGCAGGGCAGAGGTAGATGAGCTGCTGAGCTCATAACACTCATTCACACTGGCACTTCATCCACGCACTCATGACCCACACCGCCAAATTGAAGTGCCTTTATGCCGGAGAGCTACACACGAGGAGTTTCATATCCCAAACTGCTGGTCTGATGATGACGTGTGCTTGAGCTCTGGCCTTGTTAATTTTGGGGAACTCTCATGCTTTTCTGTATTTTCTCATCCGAGAGAGAGCTGGATCAGAGCAGTTTTTAAGAGAAGACAGACTGTCCCTATTTGACTGTCTAATTGGGAGTCTGAAGAAAAGGCTTCTGAAGAGAACTTCCACACAGAAGTGAGAGTTATCGAACTGCTCTCATTATGCCTCATCTCTGCACTCATTTATTAGCATAAAGCAGGGCAAGACATTTGTTTGCTGAGGTTGAATTTGCATGTCGGGTGATCTTAAGGGAATAGTTCACCCAACAAAATGAACATTTGCTGAAAATGTAGTCACTCTCAGGCCATCCAAGATGTAGGTGAGTTTGTTTCTTCATCCCAACAGATTTGCTTTTCAAACGATGTAGTGAATGGGTGCCATCAGAATGAGAGTCCAAATAGCTGATAAAAAACATCACAAGAATCCACAAATAATCCACACCACTCCAGTCCATGAATTCATGTTAAGTGAAAAGCAGCATGTTTATAAGAAACTATTTAATCATTAAGGCATTTTTACTTTAAATTGTCGTTTTTGGCCAAAAGTCCATAATCCATAACGCCTTCTCCAGTGAAAAAGTTAATCCGCTGTTGTCATCTCGCATTAAAATCCACATGCATATTTGTTTTGAACTGTGCTTGATTGGTGCATATTTCTCTGCTAATTCAGGCAAGATGACTTTTTCACTGGATTATTGGAAAGCAATATTATGGATAGAGGACTCTTTGGCCAGAATTGATGGTTTAAAGTAAAAAATGTCTTGATGGATTTATTTCTTACAAACATGCAGCTTTTTGTTTCATAAGACTTTAATTGTTGGACTGGAGTCGTGTGGATTATTGTGATGTTTTTATCAGCTGTCTGAACCCATTCACAGCAGAGGATCTATTGGTCAGCAAGTTAATGCTAAATAAATAATTTGACATTGTGGATGGTCTGAGGGCGAGTACATTTTCAGCCAAACCCAAAGGCATTTATTAGTGATCCACTGAGATATAATATATAATATAATTTTTTATTTTTTTAAACCAAAGTTTTTACTTGGCCAAGAAAATGAAAATAAAGTTTAGGTTATTAAATTTGAGTGATTGGGTAATCAAACTCAGCATGCTAATCAATGTGTTGTGTTCTCAGATGATAAATTAAAACAGTTATAGTAAAGTTCTTCAACAGTGAGCTGCTCTTGATTATTTCAGCTGAACAAATTTTACATATAGCCACTAAAAACAAAGCATGTTATAGCTTAAAATCTTTTTGAAACCGGTGCAGACACAGTCAAAATGGAGAAGTGCTAATTAAACATCAATGTTTTGGTCAGTGGTTTCGGCCCTCCAAAACTATTTATTTAATTCCAAAAATTCATGTGTTTGCCGTTTCTGCTGAAAATATTTGGTTGCTGAAATCTCTGCATTACTGTCATTTGTTTGTGTTCACTTTTATTGCATGGAAAGAAAGCAGAAGCATGGACATTTGGCTGATATCTCCTTTGTTTCATGGAAGAAAGAAAATAATTCAGAGAAAGAAAGAAAATTAAACAACACAAGTGTGAGTAAATGATGAAAAATTAAAAATTTTTGAGTGCACTATCCTTTCAACTAGTGTCGGTAAAGAAAGTAATTCTCAGAAATGTTCTTCAGAAAGTTATTTCACCTTTGTTGTCCCAGGAATGTTTTGTAGAGAATACCCTCTCTGTGCATTTATTCTTGGAAGCCAAAGCTGTTTGTTTTTTGTGAAAGTGATTTGCATAGTCAAGGAAAAAATTATGCCAACTCCCATGGAAAAACAACAAGGCTGATGCATCTGATATTGCAGTACATTAGAAATGTATTTGAAGGCTGAAAGGGCAGAGTTAGAAAAAAAACAAAAACATGTGAAATAAAATAATCCATGTCTCATCAAATCATATATTTAAAGTGTTATGTGAACATTACGCTGCAGGTACAATGTTATTATTTGGCTGGCGATCAGCTACATTAAATGTGAAATTGTTGATTTAATGTGCATGTGTTTGCCAAAGATCAACTTCTCAGCACTTAAACATTTAATGAAACCTTTAGAATTGTTGCTGGAGTGAAACTGGATAATTGACTCCTCGCAGGGAGCTTTGTTGACAGGCGATCTAACCAATCATAACACTGAATCCGCCGTTTTGTCAGACAAACAAACCAGATAGGAGATTAGATAAATTCAGCGGACTTCAACTTGAAAAATGGTGTGTATTGACGTCTTTCCGTGGTTGAAACAAGATATCTTCTGATGTTCATGTGTTTTTTGAGCTTTAACTAGTAAATATGAAAAGATCGGTTCACGTGCCGCTTGAAATGAGGTGCTACGTTCATCTGTCACAACACATTAAAGAGCTACAAAACTATTTATTCTTTGAATTTCTTAAAAAATAAATAATAATTTTGAAAACGGAGACTTTTTCATACCAATAGTAACTAACTCTGTCTTGATTGTCGGTGCGTTGTCAGTGTCTTTTTTCCGCTGTGTATTTTTCACTGCGTGAGAACATGATGTGTGGCGTGAAAGCGGCATGGCTTGTCGGACATAGCAACAGTAACTAAGGGGGGCGGGACTTTGCGAAGGGCCAATTGGGTAGCTTAGAGCATTGGTGTTATCTCTGTGTGCGTCAGTGTTTCTTCAGTCTTAAATAACTCTCTGCACAACATTCCACTACTCTTCCTTGGCATATTTACAGTCATTTATAAATTCAAAAAGGCTACATGTACTAAATAATTGAGATCCATCTAACAATTTGCCAATAATATGATATGGGACTGTTGGAACACAATGTAAGATTTTTGGTGTCTTTATAATATGTAAAGAATAAAATATGCTGAAACATGATAATACATAATAGCTTTGATAAACTATATTGTAGGCTCTGCCATTGTTTGTACATTGGTCCTGTTGGTTTTTGGTCCTCCTTAATTTCGGGAAAGGAGGTATTTGAAGTTACTTCCTGAAGTAAAAGGAAGCAGCACTACCCATTAAATATGGAAACAACACCTGATGCTAAACTATACTACAAATGTGCACTTTTAATACACTTTCAACTAAGAATCTATAGTTGTATAGAGTACAGGGAAGGAATAGTATTTAGGCTTTAAAGAGTTTCCTTGGAGCAATTTTAAATCATGAAATCAATTTATGGTTGATTTGAGAAATTTGGTTTATGCAATGCACCTTACCCACCATTGGCCATTTAAAACCTCTTATCGATTGACCACTATTTGTGAGCACCCTTCTTAATCTGTAGATGACAAATGGGATGCCCTACATTGCCTTGGACTTCACGTGTGCATGAGCAAGCAAAGGTCACAAGACTGGAAATCCACATCAAGTGCACCATTTAAAACCATACAATCATGATGCTCTGAGAGCAGAATGAAAAGACTAGATTTTCTCTGCTCATATTTGTGGTATCATTTGTGTGCCCTAGAAAAGGCATGTACAGTTTTCACAGAGATAAATGTTTTATTGTGTTGCTTTATTCCATGGAGCTTCGAGTGTTGGTATGATTTTAGATATGAGAATAATGTCCAATAGAATCCAGCCTGTCCAGATCTTTTAGAGTTGCTGGAAGACTTTTTGGAAGCTTATGGGATCACCTGTTCAAATATTAAGTTCTCCATTTAATTCATATGAATTATTCTGGCATTAGACTAGTCAACCATATATTTTGCTCTGTGAAGATGATATGCTTGGTCTCTTCTTATAATGGGGAGATCTTGACATGATCTGCCGGTGGCCTCAATTTAGCATAATTTGTGCAGTACAACCACAGTGTTTTAAACTGGATCAGCACTTTTTCTTCCTCAAAAAGGGAACAGAAACCACCCCTCAGACAGACTTTTTTTTGTCTGTCTGCATTTTCTTTATCTGTGCTCCCCCTATCCATACTACTTTACCTCATTCTATTGTGCATTTGAGTGTGTTTGTATGTATATATATGAGTGTGTGTGTGTCTGCTGCCATGACAGTGAAAGTTCTTGGTCAGGTCCAGACTGGCTCAGTAATACAGTACATACCAGCAGATCAGCTGGGAGCAGATCCCTCAGTTCATTTATAGCCATGGCCTTGTGTCGATGCACGTCTGCCTGGCAACTGCACCATTCCTGCACCCACCCAACATATACATGCTTTTTGTGTATAAAATGATGCACAGATTTTTTTTGTGCTTACAAACTAAATATGATTTAGTGCTGCTTTATCTAGGTCTATGTCAATTTTGTCAAACTACCATCTTACATTCTAAATACCATGTTAACATAACATCTAACATCTCCTGTCCAGTGTACACCAAGATAACATCACAAGTTTCTGATTTATGAACAGCAACAAGATTTTAATCACTAATTCTTTGTTTCTCTGATAGGTCGTTGTCTCCATTCTATGGAGAAAGTGGGCAAGATGTGGGGTAACCTCAGGAATCGATGCCAAGCCCTTTTCCACAACGATGGCTTCGAGTCCCATCTGTGTAGCCAGGATTTAGATTGCGTCCACTGTGTGGTAGACTTGGGTAGGGGAGCACATGCAGAACCCTATGAAACTACACCCTCACGGACCTTGTCACTACTCCCACTGGTTACTGGAGGATGCAGAGGCCATAACTGTGTGGCAGACATTCCCCAGATAGTAGAAATCTCCATTGACAAAGAGAGCGAGGATGCACTGATGGGTCCACTTATCCGTAGGGACTCCTACTCACGTCATGCTCCCTGGGGAGGTAAAAAGAAGCATTCTTGCTCAACTAAAACACAAAGTTCGCTTGAGGCTGACAGGCGAACAGGACGCTCAAGAGGAAGTACAGCCAGGAGGGAGCGTCGCTATGGAGTTAGCACTATCCAAGAGATGAGTGATTCTGTAGGAGCTGGCAGCAGTGGGCGCAGCCTTGGCACCCGTTCTCTACGACAGCGACTTCGGGACACCATAGGCTTATGCCTTCCTCTCCCCACACACTGCCGCTCTCAGTCAGCCAAAGGCCACGTGTCCTCCAAACGTAAGATCCACCTGACTGAACTGATGCTCGAAACATGCCCTTTCCCACCCGGTTCAGATCTGGCCAACAAGTGGCACCTAATTAAGCAACATACAGCGCCAGTCAGCCCTCATTCCTCAACTGCTCTTTTGGATGCGTTTGATTTAGTGCATCCATCCACTGAAGACGAGGAAGAGAGGCTGCGTGAACGGCGTAGACTTAGCATAGAGGAAGGAGTGGATCCCCCTCCAAATGCACAGATCCATACGCTGGAGGCAACTTCACAGAACTCTTCCCTTTATAAACTGGGACCAAAGATGGCTCCTGGTGTTGGGGAAGGAGTTGGGGAGGGCAGAAGTCTGGGAACAGTCTCCTCCATTTCTGGGGGGGTATCGGGTATTGTCGCACAGGTTTCAGCGAGTATGGCAGTGTCATCCCACACTGTTGACTGTGACTCTGAGGAGGACTCAACTACTCTTTGCTTACAGACACGGAAGACCAAGCAGAGGCATGCTTCTGGGGACACACACTGCTCCAGACAACCCGGGCCTTGGAAGGTCCACACACAGATTGACTATATCCATTGTTTGGTGCCTGACCTACAGGCCATAACTGCACTTCCTTGTTATTGGGGGGTGATGGATCGGTACCAAGCAGAAGCACTGCTGGACGGACGACCAGAGGGCACCTTCCTGTTACGTGATTCTGCACAGGAGGACTACTTGTTTTCCGTTAGTTTTCGACGCTACAATCGTTCACTGCATGCACGCATTGAACAATGGAATCACAACTTTAGCTTTGATGCGCATGACCCCTGTGTCTTCCACTCTTCCACAGTAACAGGCCTGCTGGAGCACTATAAAGACCCCAGTGCCTGTATGTTCTTTGAGCCCCTGCTCACTGCTCCCTTACACCGGACTTTCCCTTTCAGCCTTCAGCATCTTGCGCGAGCCGCCATCTGCAGACACACCACCTATGATGGCATTGGTGCCCTCGCGTTGCCTCCAACCATGCAGGACTTCCTGAAGGAGTATCACTACAAACAGAAAGTCCGTGTGCGCTGGCTAGAGAGAGAGCCACCACTCAAGGTCAAATGAGGTCTGGCTCTGCAACCGAGAGAGGCAGGAGTGTGGGCAAGAGTTTTGCCGCCAGAGGAGTATGTGGCTCATATTATCCAACATACAGCTGGATTTAGACACACGGCAACAGAGGATGTTGTGAACTTCCAGCAGTTTTTTTTTACCGGTTAATACTACACATGGAATCCATACATATGTTTCAGTGCAGAACATTCTGTCAAGCTAGCTTATTTGCTGAATTGTCGAGCATGGTGGGAATGAGATGGACTTATTCTCTCTGCTCTTCTTCCTATGACCTTATGTCCTTTGGCTCTCCACTAGCATGCCCCTTGCTTTCTATCTTCTAGTGTTTTACATTATTTTGAGCAGTAAAACTGATTGTTGTCACATTAACTAGCCTCTTTTGTCAGGCAAATGGATGACAGCTACAGAAGCTTAGTCCACTGATAAAATATATTCAAGTAATCTTGGAAGTCTTCATACCTGAATGTCTGCTACTCTCTAAAATGTGATGTTAAACATCTAGTCACACTATATGCCTATTTGTGAAGTCATGACTAATTTATCAACAATACCTTCAAGATACTTTACAGTGACCTCCTACAAGTGTCAAGTTCCCTGAGGCAGCACTTGTTAAGCCTTGTGTACATGGACAGGATCACAGATATACACGCACCTCTCAGCACGAAGCATGCTTTATTTTTAAAATTGAGGCAGACAGACGTGAAAGGCATGAAATGATTGCGGGGAGGTGGGAGCACTGTGCACAGTGTGCCATATGATAGAGAGGACGGATTATTTAAAACTAGGCCCTCATGTAGTGTCATATCCCAGCATAATCCTTGTTTTAAACCGTCTATTTTACTATTAGACTTTTATTAGATTTTTATCAGCGACAGTCTAAAATGACATATGGCACTTTAATTATTGTTTGTGTACCGCACAATGACTTATAGACTAAAGTGCATGCATATAAACCGATAATATTGTCTGTGTTTTTTTTTATGGACCTTATTCATAGGATGTCAATTTACCCAATATTCTTAGCATGAGTCACCCGAAGTTTATGTTAGTGTCAAGTGTCTCTTACCTTGCCTGTGCATATGGTATGTACTCGAGGCCTAGGTATGTAAACGTAATTTTATCTAACATGGTAATATATGCAACAGCCGAAAGTGGACAGAGAAAGTCCTCTGTAAAACTTGTGTAGATACCTCTAAAATTGTTTTCACTTTATATATTGTTGGAACACAGACAGATACCATCACTGCGTATATATTTAATGTTTATTGGATTAATTTTCCAGTTATGTTATAAAGTGTGGTTGGTTCCACTTGATAATGTTGCACTTTTATTCATTATGAAGCACGCAGCTATGCTTCCCTCATCATAATTGTGTGCACTAGTGATTGAGATTCCCTGAACACTGTAAAATATAGTTATAAAACTCTACTTTTGATGTGCTTGGTCTTACACAAAAATTTAATTAAAGCCAACAAAATCATACTAATATATTTAATATCAGATGTTCAGCATTACAATGGTGGGCTTTTAAGGTCCAGAAAGATCTCAGACCATGCATAATAATATGTTAAACTGGTACAATTTGTGGTATTTGGGTATTTGATGATCAGTGACCAAAGGTGTGCATCTCTAGGTTGTTATTGTGAATGAGAAATCTTCCACTATGCCTCTTGATTATTTATGTTGAGTTCAATGAGTTAATTATAGTGTCCAGTTTTCTGGCAGAGTAGCACCCATTTTGAAGCCATTTATTTGAACCAATTAAATTCACAATTAAACTCTTTCAGAATACGCCTCAGTTGTCACTGAAATGAAGTCGTTTTGTTAATTTAAATTTTTTTTTTCTTTTTTACTCTATTTTTCCACTTGAATGACCTGAATAAATACTCAAAACAACCATCTTAACATTTCTTCCACCCTGCACACTGTATGCTCTGTATACAGGCTCATTTTATGTCAACTGTGTAGCGGTACACGTCAGATGATGTCATCTGCTTTCAAGACTTCAACTTTGAATATAATATACCTTTCATTGAATTTACATACAAAATATGAGTGCTTAGTCGCAGCTAGCAGTTTCACAGCCTCTCCCCGAGCCATACTTGCTGAAGAAAAACCATCTAAAACCAGCCTGGTTTTAGTGGGTCTCCCAAGGTTTAGTCACTTTTCAGCTGGTCAGGCTGGGAGACCTGATTTCCCAGTTGAAGACCGGCTTAGCCTAAACCAGCTAAGATTAGTTTATAACATTTGAATTTGACAACTATTATGGTTGTCCAGTTTTTGTGTTAAGTCAATGTCAAAAAAGTAACATGGTGTTACCATGTTTTTTAGGATATGGTAACATGGTAATTCCAAGGAATTTAGACATGTACCATCACGGTGCCATGTTTTTTTTAGAACATGTACCATGGTTCTTCTATGGTATTCTATGACGTTCTGTGAAGTATAGTATGTGGCAAAGTACCATGGCGTGGCTATAACCTGGTACCACCACAGTACATTTTTGTGAATACATGCTCATAACGCTGATCTGAGGAAATTTTTCCCAATAGCAAAAGCTCAACGATGCTGAAAGGCGTTCAGCAGAAATTCGTGATGCTCTTTCCCGTTTCAGGAATTAGTTCAAGTGATGTAAGCCACTGCATTTATGTCAGAAAGCTTCATTTTCAAGGGTGTTGGTTCGAGGGCTGTTAAACGCTTGGCGATAGCCTGATCCTCACCAAATCCTTTGGATGTTTTTAAACACTGAGGCATACTCATGCAGTCATTTGGGACTTTGTATGCCATTGCACAGTAAGCGAGTCTCTCCCGGCAGAGTTACACCCTGCCCTGCCTTGCAGGCACTAATCACAGGCTAAATTTAACATGCTAGCCTCTAAATTTACCACCTGCTAAAAGGACCACTCTGTGTTTCTTGATGGGTGCTGTGAAAATAGAGAAGAGCTTTTTTTTGCTCAAATTTTTCCTCTTCCTCCCCAGTCTGACCACATCCTCAGCATCACCCTCTTTCTTGAATATGTAGTGCTGAAAGCAGTGAGCGCGTTGTTTGTTTAGTCTGGATACTAGCTAAAGTTAGCATTAGCAAGAGGCTAACACACAATGCTCCATTGAGGAACATTGAGTACTGCAAGGAATGGGGCTGGGTTTGAAACCGCAGTCGTTATTTAGTTAATAGTTTAGAGAAAGTGTTATGAGGGAAGTGTAACACACCAAACTAACCCAACACCGTGTTCTCCAGTAACTCAGGCCTGGTTTATTGCATTCAAAATAGTGCAAATAAAATAGTAACAGTGGGACTGCAGAAGTCAACAAGGATTACAGTGAGGAGTCTTGTATTGAGACTTCTGTGAGCTGTGTCTTGTGCTTATGACCTGGGGATGCTTTGTCCTTGTTTTCATGGTTAACACCTTGATCATTTTAAAACCGCTTCTCTATATGGAGGAGTGTGATGTTCTTTCTGCCCTTTTTCCCCATGGGAAATTTCTTATGTCAGCCACTGTAGCACATACTGACCATATGACCATGTCAAGTGACCCTGCTTGCAAACTAGCTGGTGAAAAAACTGCTTCATACATGCACGCATACTCAAATGTACCCATAAATGTTAAATGTTGGGATGTACCAGTGAATTATAGAGTGGACTTTATGCTACAGACTGTGGCAGGGCAGCAATTGATCTTGAACTTACTAATCCTTCTGTTTAGATCATAACTCTTTTAGCTCTACTTTAGTGTCAATGTGTAAAGCTCTTGGACCTCATTTATGAAACGTGTGTAAAACCATCCTAAGTGTGAAAGCATGATAATTGCTGAATATTGAAAATGAGTAGATGACACACAAAGTTTTTCCAGGTTTCATTGCAAAATATGTAGATTTTCCTATAGTCTTTGTGTATTTAAATATGGTCATTTATTTATTAATTTAGTCAGTTGTTCATTTTACACGTAAAAGTCTCCAGAAAACTTAGTCAGCAAACATGCTTTTTACTTGGTTTACATATAAAAACACTGCCGTGACAGTTTTAGCCTTCGTAAATCCCAATTTGTTCCTACACAGGATCAAATCCATGGACTTTAGGATTAAATCTGAATTTACATGGGTTTTATAAATGAGGCCTCTGATCTTTTTGTCTTTGGTGCCAAAATATGTTGCAAAAGGAGTTGAATAATAGTTTTATGCAAGCAGAGTAGCATTTAACGAATTATTTTTACATAAATTGTATCTCTAATACACATTGAGTGTGATGTAACCATGGTTGCAATCTTATGTCACTTTAATGCTATATGTGCACGCTTGTAGCAGTATGTATGTGGGCGCTGTGGTGCCAGGGCTTGACGATGATGGGGGCTAATGGTTGCCATTCTGCCTCCTCGACTGCCTTATACATTCTGACCAATCACAACAGCCTTCTCAGCTAACCAGCTTCAGACTAACTGATCTCTAATAATACAGTATAACCAAATATTGTTCGCTGTTCCCTTCGATCTTCTTCTCATTTCATTAACTAATATCTGAGAGGTGTTTTTAGAAAACAAAGATGTTCACATTTTAGTTTGTGTTTTGTTTGACTTCTGAATATTTTCTTGGACTCTATTTTGTTTTCTTTGCATAGCCTGTTCATTGTTACAGCCAATGCACTTGTAGATGTCACTCTTGGTGCTTTGTGAATGCTTCATTGTCTTAATATTATTAATAAAATATTGAGTGTATTCCATGCAGTAAATAGATATGATCACAAATTGGTTTCTTTCATCTGGTCATTATTTTGGTTTCATATTTGTCCCTTTGTGACTTTGACCCTAATTTATGTTCCTGACCTTTTTGTGTACGGTTCATCAGTGCTTATCATTGCAAAGAAATAAAATTGTTATTCTAATTATTTTTTGATCAGAATTTACCCCTAAAACGATTCTCCATATTGATGACAACACCAGAGGGTTGTTTTCACTCGATTCTGCTGGATAAAATCCCATCCTACTTTATTAAAAACATTTTGGAAGTAAAATGGGACACAAAGGTGGTTTCATGTTGATTTCAATAACAAGAAGCATCTAATCTTATTCCATCATTACAAAAATTCACATGAGCTTGACTGAGTTTGGCCTGGAGGTCAGCGGTATTATTTGTCCTTTTGAAATGAAATATAAATAGCATCCAGGTTATCAGTTACACATTACCCACCCAAAGCTTCTGAATAATTGATCGTATCCTTTGGACAAGAGGGTTGAGCAGAAGAAGATAGGCAATTTATGTTTACTTTATTGAAAATGACATGATTCAGTGCTCAAACACTGCTGGACCATCAATGAAAACTGATCTTTGAACACAACACTTTCTCAATTTCTGCTCTTTATAGCACGCTACACACACAGATCGAGTTCTATCCGGTGGACTAGGTTTATTTTCATTTTTTCACTTTGGTGAACATGATCTGGTCAATGGGGGTGAATGAAAAGCCGTAGTTACAAGTCTCTCATTCCCGATTCTGCTCACGCTTTCCATAGGCAGCATATCTCTGGAGCTCTCGCTCGAAACACGTGCGTGAGCTTTTCTCATGCCTCATATCTCCGCACATCATCCATAAGCAGAGCAGAATGAGAGAGGGAGAAAAAGCCGCTGTCTCTTTTGCGCTGGACGGCCTCCAAGTCTGTGACGGCAAAATGAATGGTGACCTCTCTCTCACCTCTCCCTGCCTAAATACACATGTACAGGCTCCCATCCATATTTCATACCAGAAATACATCCCCAGACAGTATTTTACACCAAGTGTGGAAGGCAGCCGTCAAGTCCAGGTGGAGAGGGCAGGGCCTAAACCAACTTCATGCACGCCAACCTGGCCACCAGAGCCAAGAAAAACAGCCATCACTATCGTACTGTCATCTGGAGGAACGAGCCTCACTGTTCTGTTCGCCTACAGCGGATTAACCACAAGCTCGTGAAAATATGACGACTCTGCCATGTACTGGCGAGATTAAACTGCTTGAAATGGGAGGTGTGCTTAAGTCATTTTGGCACCATTTTAGTCCTCATTTAACATGTCTCTGTATGGAAAAACATGACCACATATATGGAGTATAAAACATACAATTATTCATTAACGCTCTCGTCATACAAGAAAAGTGATCTCACCAGCTGTGACGCGTTTCAACAGTATAGTCGGTGTGAATTATATGGGGGTTTCTGTCCACCCTAATTAGGGAACCTACCCCCGAAGGAAGTGAAAACAAAGGTTGGGGGGAGGGGGGGCTCTAAAAGTATGTATTATGTAAAAATACATTTCAGTAACACTGAAAAATTAGCTTAGAAAGAATAGTGCACTAAACCGATAATGGTTAGCATAAGTTGCATTCATTTGCATGAAATTGAAATTCCACCCATTTTCTAAATGCATCTTAATTTTAATGCCTCATCCATGCTATTTCATTCAAATAAATATTTCTTTTTTATATATAATAATTTCCGATAAAACTTCTCTCTGGTATCAAATGCAGGGCTTCTCCAATAATTTAGTTTGCTTAAACCCCGATTTTTTCTTACAATTTTCTGCAAGCTTGTATTCAGATCTGTCTCCATCCAATCAGTACACACTGATTAACTTTTTTTTTTTTTTCAATTATCTTTTTCAATCAGATATGTCTCAATATGGCAGAAGTGATCTGTCACTACCATTACATCAAGATAACTAATGAACAAAACATAAATACTGCCATTTTTCAAAATCAAGTCAAGTTTTTTTTTATCATTAAACATCTTGCATCAGATTACAGAAGTAAAATGGGTCAAACTTTAGTTTGAGGACCAATTCTCACTATTAGCTAACTGTATGACTTTTGCCTCGATAAACTCCTAATTTGCTGCTTATTAATAGTAAGGTAGTTGTTAAGTTTAGTATAGGATTAAGGGATCTAAAATATGGTCATGCAGAGTAAGGCATTAATATGTGCTTCATAAGTACTAATAAACAGCTAATATGCTAGTAATATGTATGCTAATAAGCAACTAATTAATAGTGAGAATTGGTCCCTAAACTACAGTGTTACTGTAAAATGGCTTGTGAGCAGCATTTCACATTGTTTTTAACCTTTAGTTGACTTTATTGCCTTTGGCAGAACCTTCCGCATCTGTTGCTTTTCAATACCTGCTTCTTTACCAATCCAGTATTTAATCTTTTTCAAATTTTTCAACCTTTTGTCATTTTGCACTCTTACCTGGCAAGTGAATGATATGATCTGCCATCTTTTGTTCCATTATCTCATTCTGCCATAATTCATACTGGATATGTCCTACCAAGGGTCTGTGTTTAATTTACCTCAAGCTGAAATCACACTAAAGTTTCCTCAAGCTGAATATAAAAAACGTATTATATTAAGATTATCTTATCAAGATCAGTGTATGCTTTGGATCGTCAAAATGTCCTTTCCTAAGCATTATTTTTTTATATAAATTTTTTTTCTCCCTCTATCCCTTTTTCACCACTACAGTTTTGTCCACCTTCTCACTGTATTGCATCATTGTTGTTTGGCTGGCCTTACTGTAAACCCAAGGACTGGGGGCTCTGGTGTGTCTCTCTCTCATGCTTACCTGCAAGGCCCAAACCAGCTCTGGAAAGTTTTCCTTAGTCTTAATCCTGGCATAGTTATTCCACTCGTACGTGTTTATGAAGTTCTGACAAAATCCTTCCTCTTCAGCCTCTCCCTCTCTCCTTCACTTCCCCACTTTCTCCCTCTGGGGCTCCACTTGCACGGATTTAATTTCAGATCTTCTGTCTAAAGAGAAAGATTCTAGTATTTTTTAGGGACTGAAACTGGGCTGTTTTGAAACTATCGCTTTTGCAGACTTTAAGTTTAAAGGGGTCATATGATGCGATTTCAATTTTTCCTTTCTCTTTGAAGTGTTACAAGCTCTTGGTGCATAAAGAAGATCTGTAAAGTTGCAAAGACTAAAGTCTCAAATCCAAAGATATATTCTTTATAAAAGTTAAGAGTCAACCACGCCCTCCTAAAATGGCTCGTTCTAACACGCCCCCACATGTCTACGTCACTGTGTGGGAAGATTTGCATAACGCCGCCCAAATGTTCACGCAAAGAAAGAAGGCGTAACTTTTATTCTCGCTGTATTATTGTTGTTGCTGCCGCTGCCATGTCGTGAAGGTGCTGTGTGTTTCGTTGTGAAAGCGAAACTACTTTGTTTGGCCTTCCAAAAGAGGATGATATCCGCTTCCTCATGCCTGGAGCTGATCCGTGCTGGTTGCTGAGGAAATACATCAACTTCGCTCTGTGGATCGCCGGATCGGCTTTCACCGTGGACGAAGCGGAGGCCAGCCCGGGGTCGTCAGATGTGGTTGCCGCAAGCCCGCAGGCCGCTCCGTTCTCAAGCCCGCCCGCCTGACGATTCAAACGCAAGTTTTGAGCAGTGTAGAGTAGCGCTTGTTTGCCATTTCTCCGATCGCAAATGCAGACATGCTTTTATGTTTACGCGGCGCGATGCACCTCAACCCGTAAAAAGACAGTATAAGTCATTATAATGCATAATTATGTCCCCACTGGATGCAACAAATGCCTAGTTTATAATGGGTTTTAATGTTTTTGTCTCGTCGCTCCGGCCGGACAAGGCATCACAGGGTGGTAAGGGACGTAACATTTCCGTCACACGCTTGAGGTATTCGGCCAATCACAATGCACTGGATAGCTGGCCAATCAGAGCACACCTCGCTTTTCAGACCAATGAGCTTTGTAAAAAGAATTTCAGAAAGGCGGGGCATAGAGGAGAAACAATAATGTACAGTATGTGGAAAATTATGTTTTTTTTACTTTAAACCGCATAAACACATAGCATTACACCAAATACACAAAATAATGTTCTTTTTCGCAACATCATATGACCCCTTTAAAGAGTTATTGGGGGTTAAATACAAGTTAAAGATCCCACACATGACCCCATGCACGATTCAAATATTATTATTTTTGTTTTGTTTTGTTTCCATACATGATAGCTATGTGGTCATCGATACCCTATTGTCATCCTGAAAGTTGACAGTTTTCTTTTAGCATATATGCATTCAAAATCTACAGTCTTTCTCTTCTGGGAAACTAGACCAAAATATGAATCTCATCTTGTACTTGTGGGCGTGTCCAGACTATTTACCAATCAGATGCTCTCTAGAATGACAGTTTCCCTCCCACTAATACCACTTGCCTTTGACTAGCAAAAACAAGTAGCAAATCCTTGTTAACAACTGTGATGTAAACTAAAGCCTACTGGGTATCAAAACAGGCATAAGGCCTTCAG